TCTGTGAGTGAACAATAACAAAAGGTCTGCGTATTCTTTTTTCTGATAGAGTGTATTCATAGTTTTCATTTATCTTGGGTTTTTTAACACTACATTTATCTGCGCCTGATGCAACCTTTGCCTTGTGTTAAGAAGCGGCTTGGATGTAAAGTCGCTTCAGGGGAATTTTGCCCACTGCATAAGCACCAAAAGTAAGAAGAACTTTCATATAGTGCAATTCATCAGTCCAATCATGTCTTTGTTTATCCTTTGGAATCTGTTTCTAATTAACTGTGGTCCTGTGTGTGAGGTTATTGGCCAAATCACAATCATTAGATTTCAAAGGCCTGTTTGCCTTCAATCTGTCAGGGCCGTTTCTGTTGGGCCGTTGTTGTCCTCTGCACACGTCGTCAGGTCCCAAACAGAGCTGTCAATCATGTGAAGTCATTCATAAAGGAAACAAACACCATGATGTATAAATACGCACTCCCCAACTCACTCACTCACTCTGACAAAGCACACTAAGCGCATAAACAAACACAAAGCAGGGTGAGAATGGGTACATAGAATCGAAAGGAATCTGACTCTTCCTGTGGAGAGAGCTCTATGATAACAAAACCAGCACTCTGATAAGAACACACACACACACACACACACACACACACACACACACACACACACACACACACAGACACACAGCTGCTCTTTTCCAGTCTGATGGACAGGATGGAGTACTCACACTGGATGCTGCCGGTTCCGGCCCAGGCGAAGGGGTCCAGGCCAGAGAAGTAAGGGGTTGCCTTGCCGAGCATGCACGATCCTTGTCCCGACACATCAAAGAGGGGCCGCGGGCCGAGCCCCAGAGCCTCCATGCAGTCGAACATTCTGCTGACAACTCACAGCCAACACAACTACAGCCGGCAGCCGAGAAGCTGTGAGAACGTGAGCGTAACAACGGAGAAGAGGCTTCCTGTGACTGAGAGCAACTCAAAGCCCCGCTGGTCCAGGTGTTCCCTGTCTTTCTGTGTGTTTGTCTCCTGCTGGCCCCCGGACTGTCCTGTTTCTTCCAAACTGAGTCCTCTGGACAGACAAAACGCTTCCTTCTTGACGTTTTTCTGCTCCTCAACCCACACTTGGTTCCCAGAATCCTTTGCCTGCCTCTCTTGACTTCTCTGACTGATCTCAGTTCTCCTCTCGAAGGCTCTTTGGGCCTCCAACAACTCCACCACAGACGCAACCAACTATCCGCATGCTCTTGCAGCACAGAAAAAGGAGGTGGGATTGGGGAAGTAGAAGAGGGAGGGGCACGTGCAAGAGGGGGTGTGTACCTGCTTTCTGATTGGCCATGCATCAAAGTTTCTTTCCTTCCCCCTTTTCCTTCGAGTTTTCCCAAATTGCCTCTCCATATTTCATATTCTGCAAATGAAAACAAACAGTCCTCACCTCCCCTTCCTCTTCCCAAGAGTCTTTCTTCTTTCTTCTACTGTATTAATTCCCTTTTTGTTCTACCACAGCAGGGAACATTGCCTCTACAGCTCTAAAGAACTCCCACCTCCCAGAGTCTGTTCAGAGAAAGTACCAAAGGGGCTGAGAGAAAGGACATAGGATAATTTACCCAGCTTTCCCTCCAAATACACACTCTCCTCTGGTTTCGGTACGGTAGGAATGAAAGGGGCCACAGGAACACAACACACCTGCTCAGCTAACCCCAAATCTCCCCCGACTTAACGGCATATTACTTGAGTATTGAGTTGCATTTTAACCATGCGCGTCATGGTGGTATTTACACGTCTGTCCGTGGACAGATGTTTTCACAGCGAAAGCGTCACTATGAGAAGATGCATTTTAAACTTTACAGGTGTGTTATTGAGATCAAAATGAAGGCAGAGTTTGAAGACCTAACCAATTAATTAACAATTAACATTAATACATATCTTTTATTCCTGCAATTTGATATGAAGATGATGACCTATTATTTGAGATTCATTTTAAGATGAAAGTCTGCTGTCGACACATCCTTCCTTCCTTTCTTCTCCAGCCCCATGTCCATCGCCTGCAGTTTTTATTCATTTTCTTTCTCTTTCCTCTTGGTCTTGGCATGTGCGGGTATGTCATTCAAATCAGTTGAAAGTGGATTGAGTTATCTTCCCTCCCGGAGCTTATTGGATAGTTCAGCCACACAGAAGTGGGACTCTGCTGCAGGCGAACCACCGTGGCCCAGAGTCTGGATAGTTTGTATACGAGACAGCCTCACCCACCTCCCTCTCCTCCTCCCTTTCCTTCCTTCGTTCAAGAGGGATGAACTCTGGAAGAAACCCCCACTGGGGCTTTCACACCCCCCTTCACTCACACACACACACACACACACACACAAACTGTCCTGCCTGTGGCTGCCTATGCTTCATACCACCCTTGTGTGTTACAATTCTCTATTTTCTTTGTTTTTCTAGTGTTGTTTATGTGTTTTGTTTATATTTCTGCCAACCCCCTGAATCCATTTCTTTAGAATTTTTCATGAATATTTGGAGAATAACAGCTGCACCCAGTCTGTTGTTTTTTTTACTGACGTTTTTTTATTCATCTTTCGACCCCCCCCCCCCCTCCCCCCTTGTTGGTGGAGTTTCTACCTGTCTTTCACCACCATGGTCGGGCGGCACACCAAAACACAATGATACACTGCAGGGAGCAGAGCAGCCCAGTATGAGCCTGCTGAGCTCTCCCCACACCTTGAGACAATTACCCCCCCGCCTCACAGCGCCGTGCCCCCTGTTGCTGCTTTCAGGAAAGGGACATACAAATGCAGGGTGAATGCGAGGAGGGAAGAAAAAGCCACTTTCTTTCACTTTGAAGAAAACACTAACTTTAGTTTATTTTAGTCAACTAGGCTGCAAATCTCCGGCTTTCTCGCACACGGCGAGCCGCGTTACAACTGTTCACAATCCGGTTCTTTTGGCAATTCATCCTGTCGTTGTGTCTGACACAAACACACAGAGCCGAACAATGGCCTCTCTCTCTCTCGCTGTCTCTGGCTCCTTTTCCACAAGCAGCTCCGCCGGATCGGCCGCAGATATTTGCACAAAGTCTTGCTGCGGTCATCAGCCAGCGCACAAATATAGGCACAAATGTGAGGCAAGAAGTGCAAGACTGCTGGTTTGTGATATTCATGGGTGTTGGAATGTGCAGCCTACGGAGTGGAAATGTGTGTGTGTGTGTGTGTGTGTGTGTCTGCGTGTCTTTGGACGCACGGACAATTATGTGCGTGTGTGTGTGTGCTTAAACAGAGTGCCTGTGATGAAAGACAAAAAGAAAAACACACAATCCTTGGTCTGTGCCTTTAGGTTCAAGTTACTAATATCACACACACACACACACACACACACACACACACACACACACACACACACACACACACACACACACACACACACACACACTCAAAACATTACGAAGAACAAGATGTGACTAGTACAGAAATTACGAAAGGACATTGTGTTCATTGTGGAAAAATACACTTCTGTTCTTATGGATCACAGCAGCAAATCTTTTTCATATCCAAAACTACAATGTTGATATGAACAGAATAATAATGCATAATAAGACAAAATGATATTTAAAAAAATATTTTCCTGTCCAAAGATGGTATCATGTATTTATACTAACTCCAGGAAGCACAAGGGAGAGAGCTTTAACCCCAAATAGTTGTTTGTGTAGTGTTGTACTAATTCTCTTTTCCCACTACTATCAGGGTACGAGGAGATCAGTTACTGTATGATTGAATACAAAGCAGGGAGCTTTTGACGTGGTTATCCGCTTATTTTACATCCCGGGATGTTCTGATTTTCATAGTCAAGTCTTGTAATCGCACTGATTAGGACCTGGTTTGAATTTATTGGCAAATCCCACTTAAGCATCTACAGGAATCTTGTACAGTTTAGTCCACTCTTCACTAATGAGAGATACGTCATTTATCCCAGCTTCACTTAATAGAATAATTGTATCATTCAAAAACATTCGTACTAAAAACTCTTGTTGTCCAATCGGCACATCAGTTTACAAAACGTTTTCCTAAAATCTAGCTGATGGATAAATATGTCAACTTCTTCGACTTTGTCTATTTACATGTAAGAAGTCCCAGGGGCAACATGTTGAAGGTGTGAGTCTCCAGATAAACACTGAACAGACTGATTGACAGCAGGTATTCCTGCAACTGGAAGTCACACAAGCATTACAGGGGAATAACAGTGTGCAGTGCATCAAATTCTAATGCTGACTCAATCAAGTCTGATGACAATAAAGACGAGAGGAACAAGGGAACTTATCGGGACAGAGGTTGGTTTTGGAGCGCATTATACTACGAGAGCTACTAAGAGCTCAAATGTCTCTCCGAGGCCTTGCTGAGTTTCTGTGAAGTGCAACAGTGCCCCCTGTGACTCAAACGGTCTCCTTCCAACCTCACTGCTTCTGGAGGCTGAAATAAGAACATCTCATCTGCCAAAAGCTCCATCCTTCTTCTGAAGATGTTCATGGTTCTCAGCTCTAATGATGATTGAAAGATTTAGATTTGATGGAAAGCCTCACATTACACACGGGGACCATGCTGTGCAGCCTGCCCTCTCTGCCATCCGCCTGCTTTTCCACTGGGAGGGAATTCTACTTTTCTTTTCTAATTTATTCTCTTCTCTCTGCATGATTTAAAGCCTGGTTATAGCCTCAAATTTACCTCGAAGACTGACGTTGCGGAGAGTTCCAACTTCTTTACACAGACATCAAGCACACTTTCTTGTCATATTATATTCTCTGGGATCAGGATTTCTTGCCTTCTGATTCAACCCCTGAACAGCGTGATTTCCGTCAGCAATCATTTAGGTCAGGTCTTTTGCAAAGGAACTTCTTAAGATATCTTTTCTTTGAAAATCGTTGGGGTGAAGGCACGTCTTTGAAAGCAATACGCTCGGTTCCGGTGACGCCTAACACATCTCCATGGTCGTAAACGATTATTACATGCACATTTGATCACTTACACAATGCAGCCATCTCTTTGGGAAGGTCCGTCCCGAACCGGCCGAATAGGTGGCTACTGGCCAGCAGGTCGAAGGGGGAGTGGCTACGCATGGAGTTAAAGGTGAACGGGTACATAGCTCGGGGGAAGCCAGTCATGTGACGCACATGGTGCTCCCTGTTGGTCGCCATGGTGATAAGTGCTGCTGGCGGTTGGGACTTTTCTCCGATTGTTGTTTGTGTCTCCCTGCGTCGTCTCCGTTACGGGCCTGCGTTGAGTGTGAAACGCGCTGCTGCCATTCAGCCCCTCCCGGCGGGTGGGCTGCTCTGGCGTCAGGAGAGGCGAGAGGCGAGGGGGATGCTGCTGAAACAGGAAATTAGACCAGGAACGATATGGGCCTGACCCGGTCCGGACTCTGTAGAAAAGGAGGGAAGAGAAGGTCGGAGTAAATAGTGGCCCAGCAACTCACCAAATATCAAATCAACTCAACAATTCAAACAAAACAAAAAAACAGAAAACAACCCCTAAATTATAGCGAAAAACCCAAATCCAGATGAGGAATAAAATCATGGAAGACAAAGAGCAAAAAGAGGGCTGAAGACACAGCAACATTTCTCTTGTGCTTCTGTTCGTCATCAAAGTAGTGCATTGATTTCAGGCAACGCCATATGATATCAATCAGCAGAACTTTATTATAAAGGGTCTCTCTGTTCCCTCTGCCAGCCTGCCTCTAGCCAGCCACAACATGGGTACAATTAACCCTTTGCCACAAGAGACACACATGACCTCCTCCTTCCAGAAACAGCCTGCTCTGTTCGCGATGGTCACGGCGTCTCACCTGTGCTGCCTCCGAGGACTTGCACAGTGACTCCGTGACCCCGTCAGAAGGTTTGAAGAAGGCTGCGCTCGCATCCATGGCTCGCTCATCCCCTTCAGCGATTTCATGAGCGGGCGGAGCTTAAATCTCTGTGGCGGAGCCGTGTGGTAAATACGGCTCGGCAAAAGAATGTCTTGTTGTTTTGGGCCTGCGCCGGCTCGGGGAATCAAACACCCCGGGTGGGTGAGACACACAGAGGGGGACGAGTTATGAATTCACAAATGCCTCTGCTGAAAACATGCTCTCGCTTAAAAAGCTCTAACCATAAAAGTGTGCTTAAGACTTTGGCGTTCCTGATCCAAAGGCAGTGTGTTGGATTGTTATGAATCAATGACGGCTGATAACAGCAGCACAATGGATTCAACCTTTAATGAAGAATACAATGTTCAGCTTGGGATAAAAAACGTTTTAAAGAGGCGTTGATTCAGTTCGTTGTGCTCTGATTTTTAATGCATCGCATTGAGTGGCGTTTTTTCATATTTAGTAAACCCTCACTGATGTTAGTGGGGTGGACAAAATAATGGAGAATCGTCTGTGCTGCTACTATTAAATAAAATATTCCTCTACATTACCTTTGTTGTTGTAGCATATTACACATTCACGCACAAAGTCAGCGCAGTGAGTGTTGTTTTTAAAGCCATATTTCCCATTTTTACATTTTTCTGTAACTTCTTGGCTCTGCTGTAGTTTTTCTTTGCTGCAAGGGAGAATCCCTGCGACTATATTCACAAGGAACGTTTGTGTTTGAAGATCAGAAAATGTCAAACGCAGGTTGGACAAAGTATATGGTGGTTATAAAAAGCCATTACATACGCGGTGTGACATTTTGTAAAACATAATCCGTGCACATGCCTCCCTGAAAGCAGAACACAGAAACATACAAACACGGGCAAGTAGGCGGCAGAAGCAAACGTACACAGATGTTCTGTGACTTTTATTCACATTGAGAGGCAGGTAATCAGTGTGCGTTCACACACATGTCGAAGCACCGTGGAGAAAACAAAGGTGTAAGTACGGGATGAGGACCCCGCCACAGACGCAGCTTTTGAGTATTTCAACTAAAAAAACTGTACTCTTTAACCAATTTAAATTCAAAGACTGAAATCATCAGTATAAAAGCCAGATGTACAAAAGGATCGGAAAAAAAAAGTATGGAAAATGATAGAGGAAAAGAAAGGCAGGGTTTCAAGCATCTGGCAGGCCATGTGAACTGAACAGAGTCCTTTTAATTAGAGCCATACTGGTAACTGGATTAATATGAGAGAGGACGGACTGTGGTAAAGCGGCACGGCAGTTGCAAAATTACAAACATAAAAATAGCGAAACGGTTTTATTTCCACTAATAAACTATGGAATAGCGTGTGCCCGGACCAAGGAATGGACTCTCTAATGAGTAACACCCCCCCCCCGCGCCCCCTCACTCTCCCTCCGGGGGAATACACCTTGAGCAGGGCAACAAACCCAGCGCTGTGTCTCTGGGCCTTCAGGCCTCAATGCTGCTTTTATGAGACCTAGCTGGGTCAGGTCAGACTGGGTCACCTGGTCCTGGTGACACACCAAGAGGCATTCACACACACACACGCACACGCGCGCGCACACACACACACACACACGCGCGCGCGGGCACTCACACACAGATGCTCCCTTTCCTAGACTATGCGGATTAAAAACAGCTTCAGTGTAAAAATGTTGGGACTTTCCACTTCTATCAAACTACGCTTCCAGGAGCTACCTCATTGTGTGCGGTGCGTTGCTGCAGCAGTGGTAAACATCTTTCAGATTTTCACAGTTGAAACGACAAAAAAAAATATTTTTAAAGCGCTTTATGACAGAATCATCTGGATGTGGTTACCCACGACTGTATTTGTGACTAAGTTTTATGGTTTTTCCAACCCAAATCAGGGTTGCAAAAGGTTGGTTGAGGTTATAGTTATGATTCAACACACAGAACACACACACAGGAAGTCATTACTAAGTTGGTCCACACTGAGCTAGTTTTCATTTGCATTTGAAAACAACTCACTAAACATATCAGCTGAATGATTTCATTTATTTTTGCTCACTTTGACATGTTTAACTAATCAAAGTAAACAGCCGACCTGCCGCCCCTGCATGCGACAGCCACAGACTTACTATTTGTGGCTGCCACCTCCTGCTTCTGCGTGCAACAAAGTTGCCTGATTGTTCTCATAAAAACAGAGCCAGCCCGACCTATTTGGAGGCTTGAGGTAAGATTTAAGCTTGTTCCCCTTGTATTGCAGCCAACCACAGCAACCATTGTCTTCATACACATGCAGAAGATGTATGACTTTAGAACTAGGATGAAGTTATGCAGAATAAGAAATATGTTGGAAAGATGGCACTGCTTGCATTCACATATACCACCATTATCTGCAATACATAAAAACTTTTTGAAAAGTTTTATTTTAGTCAGGAAACCACCACATATGGCCAGGTCTTCATTCTGTTCCCCTCTGATAAGCACAACATCACGGTGATTTGTGTATGACTCATAAATGCTACCCGTTGACACTCTTTCCTCTCTTTATCATGTGAAGTCATTTCAAATCAACACACCTGTATTTTGTTTTAAATATTTTTTTACTTTCAGTAAAGCGGCAGAAAGTTGACTTCTCAACAGCTTCGTTTAGGTCGCACACCAATCAATCTTTGGTGCGCTGAGAACTGTGGTCACATTTCAATGGGATAATATGGTGCAGCATTTAGAATGGTTACAGAGGACTAGAGAATTACAGTTAATCTTCAGTAATATCGTATAATGAGTCCGCTTTATAGAGCAGAGAAATGAGTGTCGCTTATTGAATGAAGAGCAGCACGAGTTAAAGCAGCAAAATGGAGCTTGATCAGGGCACGCAGGTTAAAACCAAGTCCACAAGTTTACAACAGGCTCCAGATCATCAATGCCAAGATCACTGCATCACGTGAACATGACAGTGCACTCTTAGACATTAGTAACATTTTTACTAGGTGGCATGAAAAAGCAAGAAACTATATAATTCCCAGCAGCGCAGAGTCAAGTTTTAAAACCTACGAGTTTGCTTCGTCGAGGCCCTGGATATAAACCAGTTCTTTTATGGAGCATGTAACAGTATCCACCTGAAAGGGCTAATAGCCCCTGGTTTCCTGTCCTGTTCTCACTGTTTGGACGGGCTTCTCAGTGGCAGCAGATAAACAGCTGCGTTACTCGTGTACCATGTATTGCACGTTGGCCATCATTACAGCGGGCTTTTTGACAAATTCCTTTGCTATTTCAAACAGCCCCTCTTCTTAGAGTCTGTCTGTCAGCCTGGCCTTCTTTTTGTCTCCTATAATCCCACCACATAGACGTGTTTCTTTCTCCCCTCATTTCTGGCATTTGAAAGCGTACTCTGCTAGTGTGGATGAGATGGGCTTGACTCGGGTCTGGATGGTTTGGAGAAGTGGTTTCATCCGTCAGTGTCTATCAGCGCTCGGTCAGCAGGGGTTTGAGGAGACGCTTCTGTCTCCGCTAGTGGTAATCTACGCCCAAGTCCGTCGGGAAATGTTATGAACTGTATTCTGAACTGAATCTGGGAGTCAATAAACATTGAGCTACCTGGATAGATTATCAGTAAAAAACTTTAGTAAGTCAGTGTGATGAATGCAGCACACTGACTTGACGTCATTGCACATCCAATGGATTATGTTGATGATGTTTTTCCTTCCTATAATTAAAAGTTCATTGCGGTGAGTGTGTCAACACTGGTTTGTCTGACAATAAACACACTGACTGAGAACGGGACAAGTGAGCTAAATAGTAACTTTATGTCCTTTGTTCTTTTAACGTGCACAACAATTAAAAAAGGAAACAGTTGCTGGCATTGAAAATCACCTGTGGCAATGTTCATTGTGCAGCTATAAAAAATAAAAATAAAAACATGTCAAAACTAAATCTAAATATATTGAATAAAATAGTGCAATTTGTAATATAGGACTAAAATATAAGCAAACACAATATTAAAATAGTAGTTTAAACTTGTGTAGACATGTTTACACATGACCGTATACCGAATGTAAGCAGATATGTGGTGAATATAGAGCGGTACTAAATAAGTAAATATAAATAGTAAGTAAGTATTTAATAAGTAAATAAGGGTGAAGTGAAGTTTAGAAGGTGAAGTGAGGAGAGCAATGAAGTCCTATTATGAGCAGGAGGAAGCTGTCCCTCAGCCTAACACATGGCAACAAACAGCATTTAGTGTTGTATTTGGTGAATAATCTTGTGTTGCAAACTTCCACTATGTTTGTTCAAGCCAGAGTGGTGTGAGTCAGTTGGAAAATAGGCGGCCACAAACTGGCACTAAAGGTTTTCGGTTTTTACTCTCTTTTTGAAGCTGTTGGCTTTTCTATTGTTGTTATTTTCTGAACATGAACTGCGAAAAGATTAGGTTTTGTTCAGCTTGCAGATGTATCTGTGGAGACATTCGAGCGTGATATTAAGAAGGAAATCACAGGGATGGAAAAATACAAAGTCTGTGTCTGAAAACCACAGAGTTTCT